TTCTGACAAGTTTCTGGTCTACTTTTGCCAACATCAGGCTGGGTTTAAAATGTATTTATTTATTTATTTATTTATTTATTTATTTAACTAAACGATATGTAAAATCTTTAAATGTAACCAAAGTATTACCAACACAGCAGACAAAAAAAAGGAAAAAAAAGAAAACTAAACAAACTTTGAAGTTCGGACCCATGGAGCCTTAGAGGCAGCGGTCTAAACCTCGATGCCGCCACGTGTAACGTTATAACCCAGGGACATATTAACTGTTGACTCAACAAATGTTGATTTATTAGCTGTTAGATTTACGGTTAATGTCCGGGTGGGGAAATCACATCCATCAAACAGAGAATCTTATTCATTTTATTTGATGGGACTTTTTCTCGATGGTGCTGGTGGGTAAATGACATGGTGGTGATGGAGCTGCGTTTGCTACTTTTATAAATCGGCTCCCAAATTTTAGGACCTAATCAGGCACCCTGAAGTAGTGGGTAACTCAGCAGCGTTGTTGATAGGAGAAAAAAAGTTAAGTTTAAGGTATGTAAGAAAATCGTAGGTTACTAAATAATTTTGCAAAGTTTCTTAACTGATCCAGGAAAATGTATTCATGATCATTAACATTTTTATATCACATTTTGTTGGATGATCAACCAGTCAGTGGGTTATGTTGCCATGGTTTCTGACTTGTTTCTACTTGACTTTTGTAACTTCGGGCTTGGTTTAAAAAAGAAAATCCTTGAATCGCTAACTTAAAGCTGTTTATTAGCATTGAATGTGCACCACATATAAACAAAGGCTAAGCTTAAAATGAACAGACAATCAGATGTTTTACTGCTATTGGCAAGTTGCTAAAACTTAAATGAACAAAGGTGACTTATGCTAATGTCACGTATGCATCAATTGTCGTTTTCTGGCCGATTCACCATTTTTTAAGAAGTTCTGAGATGCCCATTTTGATTTTGGCCGACACTTATGTTTTTTGCCTGAAAATTCCCTAAATACCCCATCAGTAAATTGTAGTTGATTGCCTTTGTAGGCGCCGCTCTGCAGGCAGACTCATATTCAGGCTTCATCAACAGCCTTTGATTTTTCCTGTTGGTTTGCTTTTGTCTTTTTGCTTAACACTCATTTATGTCTACAGTGATGCTTTGTAAAACTGTTTACCAAAGTTTTGGTTTTGATATAAATGAGCATCAGAAAAAATATTATCTTATATCTTTATATATTAACTTATATAAATGTTTCTGTAGCATTATTTGATTCAACCAAAGCTAGCAGTTTAGACCAAAGCATACATTACTGGTGAGACGATGAATGGGGATGAATCGTATAACCACCATGTCACATCTGCACATTCGCGCAGTGTTGCCATACTAGGAACTCTGTGGCTATATTTAGTGACTTTTCAGAACAAATAAATCAGTATCGGCATTTCAGTCTTTTTAAAGATCAGTAATTGCCCAGAAAACTGCAGTCAGTGCAGCCCTAGCACATGTATGTGTTAGAAAGGCCCAGTCAACACAGAGGCCTGAAAACTACTTGAAAATATGCATGACTTGAAATTTTGCTAAGAAATTCCACACAAGACTTTCAGATTCAAACAGTGGATCGATAAAGTATTCATCTGATGGGGTTAAAAACAAATAGGTTCATTTGTGTCAAACACCAAATCCCCCAATATACAATGAACTTGGTAGATAGTGGTGGGCAATATGAACTTTAAGTCGTGATAATGACAAAAGTGGCAGCAAAAACCATTTATTAGATCTTTATTAGGTAATTGTATGGCTATGACTGATTGGGACAGCAATCATAGCCCCAAAAAACATACAAAAGAGTGATTTGTATCCCTAAGTTGCACACAGTAAATGTATTTAATGACATTTTCAAATGTACTGATATTTATTGATGCTCTCATTGAACAAACTGTGGATACGGACACTTTTGGGAGAGTTTACACATTGTTAACTGGAATTTATTGTGGAAATGCTATATCAAAATTCTTATCATTAGTAATTTATCGCGATAAATGATAAAACGATACGATGAATGTAGGAAAAGTTCAGAGTGAATATTTCTGTGAGGCACAGTATTTATTTATATTTTTGCTACCCTGAATATTCTAGCTCAATTATGTAATTTAGCACCCATGTGCGTGTGTTTCAAGCAACCATGGCAACGGCACAACATATCGGGAAACCGCAGAGCCGCTGCAAGGCCGCGGGTGTAGCCGCAGTCGTGCCAAAAACTAATCCGAGCCAGAGGTGACATGAGCGATGGAAGACCGAAGCAGGCGGAGACGACACGGAGACGCACACACGTAAAGGAGAGAAAAAAAGAGAAGGAGGAAAAAAAAAACATATCCGTCTCCCCTTCTCTCCTCTCGCTCCTCGCCTTCCTTTAAACCACACAAGCGCACACAGTGGATATCCTCCCATTCTTCTTGGCTGGAGCCTCCCGTGGCAGTGGCAGCAGGAATCCATTCTCCACGGATGCTGGGACAGCTGTGCTGATACTGAATGGGACACAGTGGGCTCTGCCTCTCTATCTCTCCGCATGCGGCTCCAGATAAAAAAAAAAAAAAAAAAAAAAAAAAACAAACTTATACTAAATTAAAATTTATTTTCCCGGCTCCCAACGTGCGCCCGGCTCATCCCATCTTTGTCTCTGCCGCCGTGGAGAGCTCCCGATGTCTTTGCAAAGTAAAAAATAAATAAATAAAACTGAGAAACGGCAGTAAATTTCCTACTGCTGACACATGGTGGCCTGCAGTCACCAGCTGACAATAAACATAGAGAATTTATGACTGACAAAGACGCTAATTACAAAAACCTTCATAAGCCTTTCAGTCGCATGCTTAATGCAGAGAAGTCACAACATGCTACCAATTTAGAAGCAGCAAAAACAAAGGAAAACGCTCATATTGGAAGCAGAGGAATGCCTCCTTATGGTGTCAGAAAATTGGGAAACTTAACAGCTTAGTGGTTTATTCTAATTCATATGCTTTATTTTATGTATCCTGACCTCTTGGTGGCCTCAGATGGAGGTAAAAACTGTATTCACATGCAATAGATTAGACCCGCATGTTGACAGAATGTCCGATAAAACTGAATGTCTTGGGAAAGTCCAGAAGCAAAAAGCTTTACTGGCTGCTGAATCAGTTTCTCTCGCTCAAAATATTCACAAGAGCTGATGTGGTTTAGCTGTTTGGCTACTTAAAACTGTGACCGCATATGTCAAGTCATGAAAGGCAACCCAGTTAAACCAGAACTTGCAGGGATTTGATTGTTTAGTATATCTAACTGGCCTATAAGATGTTCATAGATTTCGACTCAAAAACTCCTAAAGACGAATTGTTCAGATCCCTAACAGGCCAGGCTCTACATTTAGGCTACAGAAAACACATGACTGTTTCATGTTTAGGGTGGCTCCTCAAAGGTGGATGTGATTGTGTTTAACTTGATGTATTTATCTTTTTAGAGTATTTACACACCTGATAGTCCAGTAGACTTGGACTATTAGGTTCAAAATGTTTCGCTGTAATTAAGCATAGATAATGAACTTGGTTTGACTGCGGACAAACCACCTGTAGTGGCACCGCATTAAGAACAACTGAAGGAAGAAATACACTCATGTCAGAAAAAGACATGAGTGCAACTTCCTTCTTCACTAAATATACACTGAAATTTTAGTGGTTGTAAGATTTCTCTTTCGTCTTCAATAGAAACCACGAGCCTTGCTAGCGCTACACATTTTTATCCAGAATCCTCTCTGCACACGGCCTGCTTTTGGAGCGGTCTCCAGTCCGCTTGGCGTTCACATACTCATTCAAACTGCACCAGAGTTCACTTCAACCGAACCGAGACCTGGCTTTTTAGGCGGACCAGAGTTCGCAAACAAACTACAGTTCAATTGAAGCGTACTAAACAGGGCTGGTGTGAATGCACCCTTAATTGCAAACAAGTGGCCTTTATAAACTGAATAGGTGACCTTTTGAGGCATCATTAGATTCTACTTAGTAGGATTGGAGTGAAGTGTGGTACAAATGCATATCACACTTTTCAGATTTTACGTCCTTCCTGTCCCAGCTGGGGAAAAAAAGCATTCCCACAGCGTACGACTGCAGAAAATTCCAATCAAATGCATAGAATTTTGTGGTTGTAAAATAAATAAAATTATGGAATAGTTACACACAAGCACACACATACACATACACATATAAAAATATTTCCACCAGATTTTGTTTAATCCTCTCAACAGCTGTTCCAACTCAAGCCATGGGAAGAGAGAGATGAAGACGTAATGACAGTGGAGGGAACTGCAGAAATGTACATTTAATGCAGTGCAGTAAGTCCAGATAATAATCATATAAACTGAATAAGATCTTAACAGAAAAGAAACTAAGCTGTGCTTTCCCGCTCCACACAAAGTATTTTTTTTTTTTTAATGTTTTTATTCAGAGCACTGCACACTAATAATGCCACATAACGGCAAGCGGTGAGCTATGGCGTCTAAATCTAAAACATTCCCTCACAGAAACGTAAAGCCATGTGAAGCAACCAGGAAAAACAGCAAAGGGTCCAGCTGAGCGCAGAAACCAAAAAGTCACGAAGGGGAACATTTAAGAAAACGGGGGCCCTCAAAATTTTTCCGACTAAAACGATCAGCCCAAGAACAAGCCCTAACCAGTAAAAGAGAGAGAGGAAAAGTGAGTTTAATACGGCTGAAAGTTTTTTTACAAGGCATGAAGATTTAGCAGCAATATTTGTGACATTTTAACGCTTTCAATTTTTCTTGCTTTTGTTTCTCTCTGCCGCTTTGCGCCGTGTTCTCTGCTTAAGCTGAAACATATTGATTTATGTGTGGAGTAAGAAAAAAATACAACAAAATCTCAGTATGGAATATAGGTGCAAAAATATGGATAAATAAAGCAAAAAAAAAAAATTAAAATAAAGACACAAACACCTGACGTTGAATAAAATAAGTGACTCAACGGGACTTACCACTAAGGCATTGTTTAGAAGGTGAGTGGGGTAATACTTTAGAGTTGAGAGGGTGTTAAGAGGCGAGGAGAGCAGGGGTCAGCGTCCAGGCAGGCAGAGAGATGCGGCAGGGAGGGGTCGGGGGTCAGGGATGAGGGGGGGGGTAGAGGGAAGGAATAAGTTAAAATGTCGCAGCAGTGAAAACAGACTCAGATGACAACATTAGCGTTGACATACAAGAAAGAATGACACACAGAGTGGTGGGCATAAGGTTAGTGCGTTACAAAAAAATAAAAAATATGGATTATTAATGCAAAAGTGTAACAATGACTTTTAGATGGAGATGGGTTAGGAACACAAAACCTCAAACAGGTGAAAGTTCAAACTGCTCTGCTGTAATTATGCATAGATAACAATGAACCCAGTACATTTGCAAAGGATAACACATATTAACGAATACAACTTAGCTTCTCTACAAAACGCCTGTACTGATTTATAGATCATTTCTTTCTTTCACTTAGAAAATCAATTCTGTTGCTGTCAGCCAGCTAGCTAGATGAAGAAAATAACTTTTTTTTTTCTCATTTTGGCTTAGCTAAAAAAAAAAAAAACAAAGAAAAAAAAAGCTGTTTGGAAATAATTTCAGTCAGGAAAATACATGGACAGCCATGACTCAGACGCTAAAAGGAGTGTTGAGCTCATTCCTCTTTTTAGGTAACGGTTTTAAAACTAAAATTAGCAACAATTTACAAGAGCTATAGTGTCGGTAAAATAAACAGCCTACAGCAGCGTTGTTCTGGAAGCAGGTAACCAAGCTAGCTAATTACTGCTCATTAAAATCTCAGTTTTAGCATGTTTACTTTAGAAGATTATTAGCTGGGTTTTTATTTCAGTTTTATCTCAGGTCTTCCGTCACCGTGCAGTCCAACCAGCAAACACACTGCTAGCTCTTGGAATTTAGCTGATGTTGACCTTAAATTTATATTTATGATTGAGACTGACTTAAAATCCCATGAGAACCATTTCATAGCACCGTGAAATGGCCGATTCTTTAAACAGAGACTGTGAACATTTTCTCACTATGACTATGCGCGTCTGTGTAAGTAATATATTAATTATGGTAGGTAGAGTAACAATACATTAGAGTTGTGTGATACCATTTAAGCAGCAGTCCTGGATGCAGTTTTGAGCAACATCTAATGTAGAAATTGTTGGTTTAAATTGTGTTATTCCACAGTGAATACTTAATACATTTGCTACTATACAGCAGGTGTCAAACTCGAGGCCTGTGGGCCAAATTCGGCCAGCCATAGCTATTTCTGTGGCCCTCAAGACCACAGAACCAGTTGTGTTTTTATTCAATCAATCAAATGAAGCCAATTTTTATTTGTATAGTGCCAAATTACATTACTGTGAAAAGAAAACGAGTTTGAAACTCCTATACAGTTTCCAAGTGAATCATCAGTTTATGAGCACTTCAATGTCATACCATGTAGCATTACTGTAAACAAGATAAAACACACACCTCTCATATCTTCATAACATGTTGCCCACAACAGATCGATGAAACTTCAATTTGTCTAAGTAGTTTTTAAAAGCCAGAGTTTGATCTATCACAATTTGGGTATTCTCTGCAGAGCTGCGAAGAATTTCTATATGGCTGTTCTTTTTCTGATTTAGATCTGGACATAAAAAAGAAAGCCCTTCAACTTTCTTTTTTTAAAGACAAAATATGAAACCCCTTCCATGCCCAGTCAGTGACATTTCTGAAGGTTCTGTGCAACATGTGTGCTAGATTAGTCCTTATGTGAATCTGCTGCCAATTAATTTTAATTAAGGGGAATTTATGTTGCTGAAAAGAGCTTTTGTTTGGCCGTGGCAAGTTTTAAATCAGATAAAGTCTTGTTTAAAAGGCCTATTTAGAACAGACAGACACTCCAAAAGCCATATTTTAAAAGTAAACAACCTCAGAGCAAATCATAAGCCATAATAAAAGACAACACGAAGGCTCCGTGGAAGCTTCTATTTTCTTTCCACTGCCATCGACGCTTCACCCCTTTTGGACTCTTAAAGTCAGCACATTACGCGGCCTTTTAACAGCTTCTTCAATAAAGGGAAGAATTAAAGTGGAAACAATCAGAAAGAGGACGAACATTATGATCGCAGCGCCGCGAGTGTTCTCAAATGAAAACCAGACGGCGACTCGCACCCGCACGAGAGGAGCCGAGGAGTTGAGGAACAGCGGCGGCGGCGGGGACCCCCTCGCCCGAGTCGAGTTGTCGCGGAGACGGGGAGGAAAAGCTCCTTTTTTTTTTTTTTTTTTTAATAAAGCCACCGTAAAAGGCTGGGGATGAATTACGGCGTCAAACAGAGGGCCCTGGCGGTTCGCTGTCAGGAGAAGCCAACTGGGGATAAACAAGTCGGCTTTATTGGAAGAAGACCTGCAGCAGCTGCAGAACACGAGAAGGCCACAGTAAAAGCAGCGAGATCTTTAAAATCGTGAGGAGGGTAAAGTTTAGGGGCCTGGAATTTACACTGACAAAGCAAACTGTAAGACATTTTGCTCAAATAATCTCTATAATGATTTCCATGCGCTTCGTTTGGCTGGTTGTTTTTACCAAGGTTAAAGAGGTAATCATGACCAACTAACTGCCTGAATAAAATTAGTTACTAAGAGCATTAAGCTTATAAGCTAAAAAGAAACTAAAAATAAGTTTGTAATTAGGGTATAAAACAGTGTTGAACTTATAATAAACTTACAAAGTGGCAGGTGAACAGCTTCCCTGACAACCGCAGGTAAGATCATTGGGGTGAATGCCTCAAGGTTAAAAAGGTTGTTAGCAGGTTTAACTGTAGCATTAATGCTGCTGGTAAACTAGTTAAATGCTCAAAGGAACACAGAAACATTGTCAACCATAGTTATATTACATTACTTTTTTCAGTTCATCTATTTATTCATGACACAACCCAAAGATAAAAGATAAGAATTAAAGTTCTTTGCTCCAAAAGGGAATCGCTAAACTGACATCTTCAGTTAAATTTGAATTTAAATGCTAAACCAGCATTTAACCTTACCTTTAAAAATATTTTTATATATTTGATTTAAAACTAATTATTTTTTGGCTAATATTTAATATCCTCCAATGTTCATCTTTTGTGCAGTGTTCTAAAGAAAAACAGAAGAAAGCACAAATAATTTAACAAGATTTAGAGTGGAAGCTTGACTAAAATAGCCCTACGGTCACTTTGTCTCACCCTGAAAATTCCTGATATTTAAAAAAAAAAAAAAAAAAAAACTTTTGCGGATAAATCAGACACTGGTTCAAAACAAAGAACTATTATTCCTGAAAATGAGACGAGATACAAAAGACAGTAAGAAGGCAAAAATGTTAATCTGGCAATTGCTGCAACTCAGATGGATCCTAGTATTAAAAATAACTGGGGGGAAAAAAAGCAACAACCGACAACAGTCACAAAAAATCGACCACATATCTTACATTTGACTGTTTTATTTCTAAATAAGGCAACATGGGGATTAAAAATGAAAGGCGTGGAACGTGAGGGCCATATCTTAAGCTTAGGCAAAAATATGAAAAGCAGGTAATATTAGATCTTTAACTTAAAAAAATGTGTATGAAATTTTTTTTTAAAAGAATCCCACAGTCACTGAATGGTAATCTGACGTCAAGGTGCCTTCTTGTAGTTAACGTGTAACTCTGCAAGTGTGCACGTGTTGCATTCAAGTGTAAGCACTTGGAAAACTGAGCACTGCAGCAGATAAGGGAAAAAAAACACAATCGCAAGGGACCGTTTATTATTACACACGCACACACACATGCACACACAAGTTCCTCAGTCTCACGGTCAACATCCCAGTCTCAGAAGAAAGTGCCCCACGCACGGAGCACGGTGGGCCGGGTCGGGCCGGGCGTTGTGCGTCCCGCTACCCCGCGCTCACGCTCCTCTCACCGGTCAAAATCTAGACCCGCCTCGACGCCTGGGGAAAAAAATAAATAACTCGACTGCAATTTTTTTCTCTACGTTCTCTCCTGCCTTTCCTTCCTTATTCGGACTTATCTTCTTCAATCATTAATACTGTTTTTAAAATATGAAGCACGCATAAGAAGAAGAAGCGCCATTTTCTTCTTTAAAGAAAAAGAAAAAGCCCTGCGGTGCTCAGGAAAGTTTCCTGCGGCATGGAAGCGCGACGAGCCGGGACGGAGAGCCGCGGCGAAGTTTCGGAGTGAGTCAGACAACAGAAACAAGCTCTGACAAAACTAACAGACGTGTGGAAAATAATAGACAGAGGCAGCGCTTTTAAAACGCATACACACACACGCATACACACACACACGCACTGAGAGAGAGCATAGTAGGTCCCCAAACAATGAAATAAGAGAAGCGAGTTTACCTGTGTTAAGCAGTACGGAGAGTACATGGTTATTTTTAGCGGGAAGGATTGGAGAGCTTATTTAAGTTGGATGGAAGCTCGGTATATAGTGCTGCATGGCAGTCGCTCGCCGTCCTGTTTCTCTCACTCCATGCTGCTGCTGCTGCTGCTGCAGCTTACAGTAACCCCGCCTAGAAAGTGAAAGCTTGCACAAACTTTTCAGGGAAAAAACTTTGCCTCCCTCCCCTCTGCTCTCCTCTCCTCTTTCCTTTTAGCAGGACTTTTAACCGCTTTCCTTTGAATTCTCCGGAAAGACGATTCGGTTTTACCAATAGCGCGCTCGCAGATTTCGCGGCAATATATAAGACAGAGTGTAAATCCAAGCTTTACTTATTTATTTTTAAAAATATAATTGTTGTTATTAATTCGTGGTCGGCGCGCGTCGCCCTTCTCAGCAGCGCACGCGCTTCCCTCCTCCGTCTCTTAAAGTTGCGTTTACTGACCCGTGCATTCGGTGTTGCCTTCATGTGATCACGGGGTAAACGAGTCGCTCTGTTCGTCTTTAGTTACTGTTGGAGGTGGGAACAGAGCCGACCTGAGGCTGTACAGAGCCCTTGGCAGAATTAGATTTGAGGGACCCTCCAAACCCTCAATACCACATGCAGTT